ATGCCCAAAAATAAATGACTGGATCAAGAAGATGTGGTACATATATACCATGGAATATTACTCAGCATTCAAAAAAGATAAACACATGCAATTTGAAGCAACATGGATGGCGCTGGAAGGGATCATGCTCAGCGAAATAAGCCAGAAAGAAAAAGAAAAATACCGGATGGTCTCACTCATAGCAGGAATCTAGAAAACTTAAATAAGGGACCAGGAAAATGAATAACTATAAGAAAGTGAAAATCAAAATCAACAAAAAACTATGAACCAGAGACACTCTATGGGGGTAGGGGGCGGGAGGGAGGGATTGGGGTCCAAATAAGGGGGTTGCAATTATATGGGGAATATAAAAATAAAATTTATTATTAAAAAAATAAAAAAGTAAAATATCTACAAATATTTTCAGCAAAAAAATATATAAATTGTCATTAACTTAGTATTTTAGTTAATATTTCTCATTTTCTACCATGTTCCACTTTCTACAAGCATTAACAAAGAGCAAGCGCAATTATGAGAAAACATTTTATTTTATTTTCTTAAAGATTTATTTATTTATGTATACAAGAGCTGGGGTACAGGCCAGAGATACGGGGGGTGAGAGAATTCACCAGAGACAGAGTGGGGAACAGAACAGGCAGACTGACTGAAATACACTGCTGAGGGGAACAGCAGGCGAGACAGGAGAGGTCTGCTGTGTCGTGTGGTTATCTCCCTGGCTGGGGATAGAACTCGTGCTGCCGAGGCTGCCGATACCTTCATAGGTTGCGTCTTAACCCCTTGTGCCACCAGGGAGGCCCTGTAAGAAAACATTTTAAATTAAAAAAAAAAGCAAAAGAAATAAGTTGTGGAACTAGGCAACATTTATTGTAAAATTAGCACAAAATATAAACAAGTTCATTTTTAACTTGTATAGGGATATTAAAATTAATATAGAAATTCTGGATTATGACACTAATAGTTCATATTTGAATATTTAAACTTTATGTGTATAATAAATAATTATAGCATTAACTTTTCTCCCACATTACTGTCTCATGATTTAAAAATTCAGTTTGACAGAAAAATAATATCATTTATTATTTAAATTGTAATCTATCTGATAACACATGTGTTATATTCTCTTCTATTTATCTAATACATGAATTGGTTGTTCATTTTGTCTTTTGTACTATATAAATTTACCCATTTTGTATCTGAATATATATATTATTGTTGTTATTTTGTTTAGTTTCATTTTGTTTTGCATAGAAGAACTTGGGTATAGGCCAGAGGTGGAGGTATGAGAGGATTCATCAAAGACAGAGAGGGGAACAGAATAGGCAAATTTGTTGAAATACACTGCTAAGGGGATCTGTGGGAGAGACAAGAGAGGTCTGCTGCGCCATATGTGGGTTAGCTGCCTGACCAGGGATCGAACTCAGGCCATACAGGTAATGGTGTTGAGAATTAACACCTAGGCCACCAGGGAGGCCCTGAATATATTTCTTATCAGTTTCACAATGATTTATATAATATAAATATTGCCAAAGTTGCTGTAAATATTTTTTATGTTGGTCATGTTCTTCTTTATTCTGAAAATTTGTAACTGGGTTTCAATTTCTATTTAGTCAAACCTGTCTATCTTTGCTTTTTAATTTCTGCTCTCACTTCAAAAGTTGAAATTATTAACCCTTTGAAAATATTCAAATATGTTTTTGAATTTAAACATTTTAGATGTTATCCTGATTTTAGAGATCCCTTATCTTTCCTATTGTATTGCATTGTATTGTATTTACATTATGATAAATGTATGAAAGAATTTACTTATACTTTTATTTTATTTCTATATTTACTTTGGTGCTGTTTCCTTAAGATTCTATTAAACATGTCCTATGGTTCCTCCCAGAAATTTTCTTATTTAAAAAATTCACAAGTCAATCCTTAGTTTGTTCAACGTAGGAGCTAAAATATGACAATTCTTTCAGAATTATAAAGCAATACCTTGTTCATAAAATCTGGTTTTGTTCAAATAATGTAAGTTAATGAATTTATAGTATCCCTGAAACTTTTGTTTTTTAATTTTTAACGATTTTAGGACAAATGGATTATAGAATTTTAAATTTTGACTTAGGTAATGCTGATCTTTTTGTGTGTTAAATACTTGCAAACAAAACTCCTTTCTAAGAACAGGATTCTTTTTCTTTTAAAAAATTAATCTAAAAAGTTGAAAATAAAAAAATAATAGTTCTATCAAATGAGGCTTATATTCTATATGCCTTCAAATTTGGAAAATCGCTAACCTAGAGAACCTAATTTGGACCCAACTTGCTCCTTCATATTAGTGACATTTCCCCTTTGTCTGCTTCTACAAACTTTAGAAAATTGTTATGTGACTGTCAGCTTAAATTAGAAAGAAAAAAAGTAGCTCATTTCATAAAGAAGTTTTTTTATAGCATTTGTATGTGTATGTGATAGGCTTATAGTCAAGGGGGAGAAAAAGGATGAAATGTTTTCTAAAATGGGACGACTTTAATGAAACAGCTCAGATTGTACAACAGTATCATGTATTTTACTTGAATGAAGTTGTTAAACAAGATTTCTGTTTGCATATACTGTTGTGCAGTTATCAATCCAATCAAAAAACTCACTCATTGTGTTTTAATTCAAAAGTGATTAGCAAATGCTGAGAAGTCACCTTATCTCACTAAAACACAGGTACCAAGTCAGAGTAAATATTTTGGTAAACAATTATTCTGGCCTTGCATATTCAGCAGTGTGCTAAATTATGCATAATCTTGCATAAGTAATAAGTGAAGGTAGCTTAAATTCAGGGTTTTTTTTAACCTGACCTATTTCTTTCAGTGCTGTTAGCTGCTTAAATCATGTATGAGCTTTCTGTAAGGCTTCAATGAGTAGCTCGGGTGGAGAAACTTCAGTAATAAATTTCAGGAGAAGACAAGTTTTTTGACAGGCATAATGCAACACATACAGAGTCTGGAACTCACACTCTGGGAATTTAGAGCAATCCTCGCAAAGCAGCTTTTCCCTGTTACATTAATAGAGAAAATGAAGTATGAAAGTCCTCAGGAATTACTGCTAGGTGTAATTTAAATAATTTACCAGAAGACAGTTCAGCACATGCATAGAACAGGGGCATACAGAGTTTGCCATAAGCAGTTTATAAATAAACTATATTCTGCTGAAATAAGTCAGGCATAAATTATAACTATTCCTTTTGTGTCTGTACCCTGTTCCTCATTGTAATAGTTATTTAAAAAAAAAATTCTGGGTTATGACCTTCTCCTGGAAATCAGACATTGCCTGCCTTGTACCTTGCTTATGAGCTTCCTTATGGTTAATGGTTTGGTAGCTATGAGATCAAAGTAAAATTACTACTGCTGGAAATAAAGAAAAAAAATGCATTATATATCTGCAAACAGAATTCTGGAAATATTTCCTAGCCTGGTTGGGGGCAAGGGGGAGATTTGTGGCCAAAGACTATCAAGGAGATTCAGACCATTTTATGAAAGCTTTACACCTTATAAAGAGAGAAAAAATGATTTACTTTCTATTTCTTGCCTTAAGTATTGTGCCTTAAATTATCAGGCCAAAGTAAAAATGCCAGAAGGAAATATATAATGAAGACTAAAAATTATGCAGAAATTATTTGTAAAGCATGCATGTGGAGGTTAAAAAGCTTCTATTCCATAGTGCCTTGAGTTATTAAAGAGCAGATGGGCTATAATGGCAGTCAAGGTTTTCCTAAAATATACTGTTAGTGCTTTGGAAAGAGGTTTTGTAAAAGGCAGGTGATCTGGAGTGCTTGCTCTCCTTCCAACACAGCAAATAATAAACCAGCACTCTCTGACTCTTCCTTTCACTTTGATTTCCTTTGATAGAAAATAGATGCTTTGGAAAAAATAGTATAGACTAGGGTGTGAAAGCAGTGTTCCTGATGTTACATAGGAAGCACAAGAAGGTAATGTTCATCCTCACATGTGGTCTTTTAAATATACATGAATCACACGGTGTCCATTGGAGTAATATGGACTGCAGTTTTCCAGCTCCTCAGTACTCTATCCCTCCATTTACAGGGGGATATAGTAGATCAGAGTTAAGATTTTATCTGGAAATGCATGTTCTACATTCAACATACAGGTGTAATAACTAGAACTTAAGTACTGCCTGGAGGGAACAGTGGAGAGAATTGAAGAAATACCACAATAATTAGGTTTTCTGTTTTCAGAATCAGTTATGAGTTGTATTCTCATGGCTTGAAAACATGAAATATTGTTCTAATATTAATATAAGGAATTCTTTTCTGAGACTTGATTTGTCACATGGAATAAAGATACATTTCTAATTGTTCATGTCTTTAATGGAGAAAAAAGATTTATAGTTGCCATTCAGGCATTCAAATCTGAGCTGTGATTCATCTATATGGTTTCTCTTAGGTGGTTCTATGAGTCTAATTGGGATATATTGCTTGTGGTGATGGGTCTGCATTAAATAACTTGACCCCAGTTATAAGATATATAAATTCTGAAGATCTAATGTGCAGCATAGTGAATATAATTACTAATTCTGTATTGCTTACTTGAAATTTGATAAGAAAGTAAATTTTAAGCATACTTACCGAACAATGAAATTAAAAAGTAGCAATGTAAGGTGATTAATACACTATACACTAGTTAATAATAATTTCAAAATAAATACATGCATCAAATAATCCGCTTTTATACTTTAAGCATATCACAAATTTATTTGTCAACTCTCCCTCAAAAAGCTCAGGGAAAAAAAAGTTCAGACCAGAACCCCAGAATTTAACCTGGCTAATAAGAATTTAGAACCTCTCATCTCCATTCAGCTCTATGTAACTAAATTAAACAGCCACAATAGTTATGTAACCTGTAAGAAAAATTGAGAAAGTTGTATAAAAGGTCCTAAGGCTTATTTGGGTTTATACTTACTGAATTACAGGAAGAAATGAAGAAATTCTAATAAATTTCTGTCCTTGATAGGCAATCAAGGTCAACACATTAGAAATAACTGGAGATTCTTCCTACAATAATTGGTGAATTTCAAAGTGCATCATTTACACAAGGTGAGTCCATTCCTATGTAAACTATTACAAATACTAGTCTCACAATATAGTTTGAGGAATTTTGAAAGTCTCTCTGCATTTAGAAGAGTCTGAGAAGATAATGTCTGATATCCAAAAGAAGTTATATAAGAGGTATGGAACATATAAATGGAGCATAAGCATATATATAATGCCTATTTACATACTGCTAGTATAGTCATATGAGAATAAGTTTGATACTCTGGGGATGAAATTAGGTATACTTGTAGATGGGATATGGGCAGGAAGTTGGGAAGGAGCAAAGGTTAGTAGTGTCTGGTGTTGCTGAGGACAGGAGTGCCCCACTGGACCACAAAAGGGATTCCTGGGAAATAGAAAATGTTAAGATGCCCTGGGACTACTGAAAGGTTGAGATACCTCCAAGATAAAGATATCCAAGATAAAGAAAATAATATCACAAGGAATATAGCAAATTCCTAAAGTCACTGATTTGACTTGGGCTGGTCTGGGATTGACAACCAGATTCATATTCTATCATTTTATTTAGTCATCTATAAATCTAAAGTCGAAGCTCACATTGATTGTGGAATCCTTCACTACTTGATATATTTGACACATATAAAAATCTTTATAAAAATTATTACTCTAATAGAATTTATCCCTCCATTATCTTCTTTATCAGTGATTGTTTCCATGTTAACATGTTGAACTTGTTACTCTAATGGAAAATCTGGCAGCTCCTCTCAGATTACTGCATGAAAGAAATATTCTATCAGAAAAATCAGGTTGAGCAATTGTGCAAAGATCCATTAAGAACTACTGTGTATCCACCTAATATAGTGTACTCATGTGTATGTGTTATGTGTGTATATAACATTTCACTTTTTTGATAGCTGTCTGTTTAATCTGATATCATGGAGATAGTCATATGACAGTATTCTTAGCATTTGTAAGGAATGCTGTTTTCTGCCGATAGCTAGTTTCTCTAATTTCTTATTCTGGCTATATGAACTCAAGAAATGCATTGTAGTTGAGCACAAGTAAGGGGAAAAGTCTGTTTTATTAGGCCCAGATCTATAAAATAGCAATAGATTTATATAATATCAGTCTATTATTTATACAATAGTAGATTTATACAATATCAGGCCACTTAAAAGTAGGAATTTAATAAATGGAATTTTGTAATAAAAAAAAAAAAACCTATACTCAGAGTTAGGAAATATGATTCTGGTTTCATTTCTGTCCTTGTGGTAGACTTCCAGTACTCTTTAAATTTTAACTGATTTTGAGTTACTACATTTTTTTTAAAGGTGTATTATTTTTGTTTAAGGAACAACACTGTAAATGCATCAATCTCACATAATACTAATTTTCTTTGTAACAGAGTAGCAGATTAGATACAACAAATGTCAATAAATTTGGGCTTATTATTCATTTGTGTCTGCATTCAAAAAAATTTTGCTCAGAGAAATATCTGGTGGTTCCCTGAGTAAATATAAAAAACAACAACAAAACTTTGAGGATCTACCATGCACCAAAGGAGATTATGAAGAAATTGTTTGAAATTACTTATGATCTGAAACTAATCAGTAATGGAAAAATTATAATGTAATTTGCATTTGCAAGGAAACTAGCACTAGACTTACCTTTGAGAAAATTTTCTTTTAAGGTTTTTTTTTAATGAATACTTTAAAAGTAAGTGATAAGACTCCAATCATGTCTACAGTCAAATGTAACTTTTGACATAAGCTGTTTGGTAATATGGAAGTGTTTCTTTGATAGAAAATTGAAACTTCCATAGACATTATAATTTTCTTTATTTGTTCTAATTTCTGCTTTAATTGGCTATAAATCACAAAAATATAGTATCATTTGAACTCTTTTAAACAATGATGTACTTTATAAAAGTATATTTTTATTATTGAATTGATCCTCCCAAAGATTAAGTTATGTGAACATGAAATTTTTCCTAATATGCAATAAATATATTGTAGACCTGATAAAAACAGTTAGTTAAAAGAATTCCATTAGCATCATTACAATGATAGAAAAAATAATGTGCAAAATAAAGTCACTGTCGTGATCCTGACCTTGTGATACAAATTAAAATAAAGAAAAGTGTCATATTTCTTCGTGGTTCAACTTGGGTTCACCTAATAGAACTCTGACAAAAGCAAATGTTTTGTCACTTAGGCTGTTGCCAAGAACATTTTAGTGCATAATTAATGATAATCCACTCTTTAATATGTGTATATGAATGAACACAAAGTTGCTGCTGGTGCCACAGAAACAATATCATGTTCATTGTGAAGAGAGCAGCACAATTTCTACTGAAATAATGAGCTGTGGAAAGGATAATGGAAGGTGTCAGAAGCACAATAAACATGATTAGAGTGGATGGGGAGAAAAAGGAAGATATTTAGCGCCATCAGGATTTTTCTTGTAAAAAAGAAAAGTAAATTCTTGATGGATTTTCCATGGCCCTCTCACCATGTTTTCTATAAATATGGAATATGCAGCCTATTGCTTAGCTTCCATTTCTTTCTTGTACACTGACCCCTTCTTCTTTAATTGACCCTCAAGGTTTGATGTTCTCTAGAGTAGTGCTTATTATTTTACTGTGCATACAAATCACCTGGGGAATATTAGTATGCAAATTTTGCTTCAACAGATCTGGATTAGGGCCTGAAATTTTGTGTCTCAAATGAGCTCCCAGGAGATGGCCCTTGTTGCTGGTCCATAGATGGCCTAGGGAACCATTCTTGGGCTTCTTCTCACCAGACTCAATCTCCATGGCCAGTTAATCCAATGTTATGAATTGAAATATGTCCTGCGTGTTCATGATTTGCTATTCCTTGTTGTCAGACTCTTCCAGTCTTCCAATCCTCAATTTGACATATTAAAAACTAAATTCATTATTGCTACCCTCAAACTCGATCTTCATGCCTTATGTCCAATTACATTGATAGTACCACCATTCCTCAGGTTGTCAAAGGTGGCATATTATACCCATTTTTGCATATGACCTTCAAAAATAGTAATGCAATAAAATGATCTGGGTACTAAGTAAGTAGCCACGATTTCTGCACATTTTATTGATTTGAAAGTCTATACCCACTTAATAGTTTCGATTATCTCTTTTTAGAATGACTTTCCTCTTCTTAACCTACTGATGAGCTCACATTGGATCACAAAGTGTGTTTTTTCTAAGTAAACTTATCCAATTTTTTAGACAATGTAAAGTCTTCTTTCCTCTGATTCCATAGAAGGAACACATCTTTGCATTCCACATATTGATCGAGGTGTCTATTTCTTCACATCTTTTGTTGTAAACTCCTTGAAGTATGGATCTATGTCTTATTTACCTGTTAACTTTTTTAAAAGAAATATTTTATGAAAAAGGAAGAAAGCAGTGCATGCTAGTTTTAATAAAATGTCAAAATGAGATCGTAAAGAAAGAAAATTCCACTTGCAAATATTCTCCAAATCCCGGGTCTCTGCATTTAGATAATCATTGTTATAAATTTAGTGTGCATCCTTGAAAATATTATCTTTGCAAATCTTCCCATCTACCTATTTGTAATCTCTTTATGTGCATAGCTATAAGTATCTTCTGACCATTAGTATTTTTGAAGTATTCTTTTGCTGCTTGACTTTTTTCTCTATGATGCCATCCTTTTTTTTTTAAGATTTATTTATTTACACATATAAAGAGCTGGGGTACAGGCTAGAGGTGTGGGGGGTGAGAGGATTCACCAGAGACAGAGTGGGGAGCAGAACAGGCAGACTGATTGAAATACACTGCTGAGAGGAGCAGCAGGTGGTCAGGAGAAGTCTACTGCTCTATGTGGGTTGCTCCCTGGCCAGTCTGGGAACAAACTCCTGCTGCAGAGGCTTCGGATTGCTTCATAGTGCAGTGATTAACCCCTTGTGCCACCAGGGAGGCCCTATGATGGCATTCTTATGAAGTAACTTTCTATTAAGTTTTTATGTTTCCAGTGATTTATAGACATTTCCATGCATTTAAGAGTTAACATTTTATTTTACATATTGTAAATATGGTTTCTCAGTATCTTCTCTTTAAAATTATTTAAAATATCTTTAAAAGTAATACCCTGATTTCATATTTCCCTGTTTTTATCTTTATATTTTATTATTTCATTGATTATGTAGAACTATTTATTTTAATCTCTCTAGTTTTTTCTTTGTGTCAAATTTATTGTTACTTTATATACAATACCCTCATTATTTTTAGGTATTTATATAGTTAGAAAAGTTTGAAAAAGCAAGACCAGGTACATCATGACTACCACAATTAAGGTATAGAATATTTTTGTCACTATAAAAGGTGAAATTATTTTCCTCTGCAGGTGATTGCCAACTCTGTAGAATCCACTTTCTTGACTTCTCTCATTATTCCTTTTTTTCCATGTCATATAGTACTCACATATAAAGATAGTATATGTGAGTAAACTAGTACTCACATATACAGATTTCAGTGTTTACTTATTTTCATTTAACACAATTATTTTAAAATTCATTCATGTCATGCATATATCAGCAATTCATTCCTTGATATTGAATAGTATTCTGTAAAAGATGAACCACACTTTTTTCCATTGTTAGTTGATGGAGATTGGGTTGTTTCCAGATTTTGGTAAAAATAAGTAAACTCTAAACATTCACATATAGGTCTTTGTATGAAAATGTGTCTTCACATTTCCCAGGATACATAACTAGCAGTGGTGTTTCTGGATTTTGCAGTAAGCCACTATTTTCCAGGTGCCAATACAATTTGCATTCCCACCAGCACTAAGGGAGAGTTTCAGTTACTCCTCATCCCTGCCAGTTCTTGATATCACCAAAATTTAACCATTTTGTATGTGTGTTGTAATATCTCATTGTGGTCTTAATTTGTATTCATCTGTTAAAACCTTTCACTTTTTCAAAACATTAGATTATGC